GGATGGATGACCCTGAAGATAAAACAAAATCAAGACTTCTCTCTTCCCTCCCAGGTGGCCTCATTCTGGGCCTTCTCTGGGCTCTCAGGGGTGGCGCCTGTCTGGGAGGAAGGGGAGATGACTTCTCGCCCTGGGAATGACTACCCTGCGCCCTCTGGCATTGTTTGTAATAGAACTATAATCCCTGGGCCAAATGGGTCTGTGAAAAGGCTGAGAGCATTAGGCCCAGCTCTCTGTGTGACCGGGCAGGGTACAGGGTTAGCTGTGGTGTCCTGAGAATACCTACTCAAGGAAGCTCATCTTCTTTATTTCCAGACCCACCCTCCGCCGCCTGCGCCCAGAAGATATGTTTGAAACATGGGTAAGACAGTGGCAAACTCCTTCTGCCTTGTAGAGACAGGTATATTCCCAAAGAGGAATACCCCTTTGAGTTCCAAAACTCAAACCAAGTTTTACTTGACTGGAGAGGATATCTAGATGGTAGAGTATTTGAAATGTGGACATCGCGCTCAGAGAACCCAGTTTTCTAGGTTCTAGTTTTTGCCTCTCTGGTGCTGCCGCTGGGCAACGTTACTGTGTCTCTGAGTCCACTCCCCCTGGGACCACTGGCCTCTGTGCACTGGCCAGAGGCCTGGGGGACACACAGGAGGAGCTGTGGAGTCAGAGACTTGGGTTCAAGCCTAGAATTGGACACCTCGTAGCTTTGCATCCTACGTCAAGTCATGTGATCTTTCTGAGCTTTAGTTCCTGCATCTGAACTTAGGGCTTTTCATAAGGATGGACAGTGTGAAGAGCCCAGAGCATGGTAGGTGCTCGATCAAGGAACGGCAGCTGTTTTTGTAACTATCAGCTCAGGGCACTGGGAAGCACTGGGTCAGAGTACCCCCCCCCCCCCGGGTCTAAGTCACAGACAATGCGTCAGGCGGGTCAAATAGCATCAGAAAGAGGGTCATGGAGATACAACCTCCCACCCACCTCAGATTTATACAAAATTCATAAACGACAACAACTGAAGTCTGTGGCGCATTTTCCAAAGCATTTCATGGATCCTTTCACTCAGGTCTTTGAGTGGTTCTAGAAAGTGCTGAAGAACAAGTATTATTTTAGCCCCAGTTTACGTGGGGAAACTGATCATATGGATGAGGTTGATTACTCACGAATATATAACTAATAAGCACTAGATCTTGGGACTTAAATTTAAATCATCTAGAGCCAAATCTCACGTTCTCGCCATTATACCCCCCTAGAATGGGCCGTGGCCCCACAAGGCACCATTTTGGCAGTGGGGGTGTGGGCGGGAGGGGAAAGGGGCTAATGTGGGAACACGTATGCATGTATTTATGTTTTTAATCTTTAATTCAGAGTTGAAAGTGACGTGTGAAGAGAGCCATGGAGTAACTTGACACTCTGTTTAATAGCATGTCACTCATTTGGACGTTTGAACAGGGAACAAACATTTCATAAGACGCTGAAGGGAAATAACCCAGTGTACAGGCGTGGACTGCTTGGCAACAACACAGCACATAGAAACCTATTTCCCTAACATTCCAAACTTTCAAAAATTCAACCTTTAAAATGTTTTGTTATTAGATTTAAATACTGTAACAGTGCTTTAAAAATAATACTCCTTTTAAAATATTTTTACTTTTTACTTAATATAACTTCAGCCTTATAAAAAGTAGTGCAAGGGTTAGGGTTAGGGTTAGGGATGGGAGTCAGCAATTCCTTCTAGAATCCTCCCTGTGTTGCAATAACTAAGTAATTCCAAGAGGGAGTCAGAAACCTCCAGATGAGCCTCTGAGACACTCCTTTGCACCAGGGAGTCTGCTACTTTTAACTGCATTTTCCTTCTTTGCATCTCTTTATTCAACATGAGAACAAACATTCAACAGAGGCTGGAAGGAAACAGCCAAATCTGAACAGTGGTAATCTACCTGGTTGGTGGGTAACTGATGTTACTTTCTTCTTGGAATCTCTAATATTTGCTAATTTTCTTCAAGCAGTATGAAAGATTTTTATCACCATACTCTTTTTTAAAATCCAATAGGCATTAATAAGAACCCATTACCTTGTGCTAAGCACAGAGACTATAAATGAACATTGCTGTCCAGGCCTTAGGAGTTCAGGCCTGAGTCGATGAAACAGTCTCGAATCATGTGACCCCAGACCAGGATGCTCCCTGCTGTGACAGAGGTCATACAAAGTGCTGGGGAGTCCAAAGTAAGGTATTCACCTAAGTAACTCCCAAGCTCCAGTTTGGGGGGATTTGGTGTTCGGTCACGTTATATAGGCCCCTTCTCAGACTTCTCAACTTAAGTAAGAGCCACTGACCTGAGTTTGCAACATCTTCTGCAAACCCTGTAGAGAGGACAGCAGATTCCTGAGCTCATTCTGTGCTGTTGGTGACGTCAAGGAGCAGAAACTTGTTCCTCCACCCTCTTAGGTTCAGTACTGGAGGCCTGCAAATTAAAGTGACAAAGAACAGATTAGTATGAGAAAAACACACAAATAGATTTAATTACCTACTTCTGTATGGAAGTTCACAAAAAATGCGACTCAAGGAGGGGCTTAAAAAAAAGAGAGGCTTCTATGCCATCTAAAATTTAGACTCCAAATAGAGGATGGGGAGGGGCAGGGGCCCTTCTGGGAGAACAGACTTTTTGGAAAGATAAATGGATGCTTGGGAGAAAAAATGGGAGACAGGATTGTCTGTTTGAGAAGAGTAGAGTTGCACTTGGGAAAGGATTTATGACAATTGAGTTCTTTTAAGAGGCTCTGCATTTAGGCAAATAAGGGATTTCAGGAATTCACATGCCTTCGGCTCTGAATAATTTGTATGCCCGTGGCTTTTCCTGGCCTACGTCAGTGAGGGAGAAAGAGCATGGGCTTCGGGACCAGGCAGAGCTGGCCTGAACCCCAGGTACGT